ATAAATAATATTCTTAAAAATGTTAAAAATTAGGAAGCAAAATTTCTCTTTAGTGTATCTGTGCTGGTTTTCTGATATATTTAACTTAGTGATTTTGAAAAGCTTTTTTTATCAGTATCTGTAATTTTTCTCACTACACAAGTAAGACTAACTGTCCTGTAATTTTTTTTCTAGAGAAATTCTTATCACTTGTTAAAGATAGTGATAATGTTAGCAAATGTTCAATCCTCAGGCACTTTCTAATCATCTACAGCAACACTTGCCATAAAGGGCAAAGCATGAAGACCTTTCAATTATAAGTGAGAGTTCCATTTTTGTTTTTTTTAGGGAAAGAAAAATCCCTCCTTTTTCTTTCTTCTCCAATCAGAATATAAACTCTGGATTATGAAGTATAGCCATTAGGCAGGTTAGTTGATATAATAGATAGAGCAAAGATTTGTTATGTTTTGTGGGGACTTACTCTGTTTTATATGTCATGAGCTTGTTGTACAATTAATTGTTTGAATAACTACAACATGTCAGTTTTATAAAATTTATAAGATGTGTTACATTTCTTTTACATCTAGTAAAATATGGTGTTGCAGAGAGCTTGTTGATTTAATCGAGTGATAAAATCAAATACATATGAGCAGCCATTACATCAGTGTCGTGTAAACTAATTGATTATTTGAAATTATGAATTAATCAATTGTTGTAAAAATAATCAACTTTATGAAATTAGTGTTTCTAATTATTAATGTTTTTATTTATTCCAATGATCAGTTAATGAAAATAAATCATCAGGAAAATAATCAATTAATTGAAAAAACGGTTTCCAGTATTTAATGTTTTTGATTATTCCAAATATCAAAATATTACCATTATATTTCTTTGTTGTGCTTTGTCTAATGCTAGTGTCAGCAGAAGTGGGGGGTACCTTGTGATTCGATCCTCAGCATCATCCATCACCAACTCTTAGCCAACTTTATTTTTTTGCTGTAAAAGGGAAATATGTACCATGTTTTGAGGAACATGGTACTAAGCATAATAGATTAATGGGCCCATTGATTAAACATTTCCCAAATAACACTAATTGCTTAGCTCTACTATAGTATGTGGGATGAAATGATGGATGGTATTTAAAAAAAAATTCTTTACAAAAATTTCCAGCAATATTTTTATGATTTCATGATTTAAAATGGTGGGTTTTACAGATTGAGCTGTAGTATTAAAAGTTTGCAAATATTACCTATTAAATGTTGATAGTATAAAAAATATTTGAAATATTTATGAATGAGTATTTATGCTTCACATAACCTTTTGGCACAATGAGTCTTTTACTGCTTGAAATAAACTGAAATATTGAAAATGAGAAGTCAGTGTTGTAAACATGCATATTTTCCAGTTTCAATAACTTTTTTGGTTACCCAACACCTGATGTTTTGGCACTGTTTTGCTGTGTTATCTAAGCATATGCTCTTATTATTCCTGTATGAATGTCCTATTGAGGACCACCCAAGGCAATTACAGTGTAAATGCAATACTTTCAATAAGTGCTTTGTTGACATCAGTTGATAAAATAAGACTGGTGTAACGGTAACCCTGAACTATTGGTAATCCCTAGCTGGTAATCAATGTAAAACTTGTTTATCATACTATGGTGAGAATGATATTCCATGATCTGCATTTATTTTATTATTAGTGTAGGTTTTTCTTTTGAAGTAGTGAATATGTACAAATAAATGAAAGATATATATACAGGCAAGTAATATGCATGTTTGGTTTACATTGTTTTTTCTAATCCATTTTTTATGGAAATTTTTTTTTATATATTTCAACTATGCATCTTACCTGTAGCTCTTTAAAAGTAAAAACTCGTGTTTACTTAGTTAAGGTATTATAGCAATGAATAGAAGATATCCAAACTGCTGCATTAACAAACAGTAGGCCTATCTTATATGAGGTCTGTTTGACTATTTGTTTGCAATAAAGTTGAATTGTGTTTCTATAACTATTCTGTACAAAATAATTTCAGTTCTTTGGGCACTTAACAAAGCTTTTACATAAATTATTATATATATCTCCAGAATATGCATCTAGAGGGCCATCCATGTTATGTTAAAGATGGAAATGTATGTGTAAAATTATGAAATAAACAAAATCAGAAATATATAATTCAGATTACTGTAGAGAGCACTGTGTTAGATTGCAGTTTCTATGTAGAAATCTGTTGCATGTTTAAAACATTACAAATGATTTTAGTTTATATTATCCTGTTAAATGAAAATTTACTGGCGACTTATTACTTACCTATTTCAGTTGCAGAACTATCATGTAGTGTTGAGTTGGATGAATATTGGGTTTAATTATATGAAGTATTATAGCAGTGAATTACTCTGTAATTTAAGTGTAACAATTCAGCTATTTACCTATGCAAATGTGACTAATATAGAATAGTCATTATCTGTTCATTTGAAATTTTAGGGTCAGTATAAAGTGTTCTTTTTTTTCTGGCCACACATTTGCTATTCTTTATCCATTTGAGCTTCCCATTTTAGATCATGTAACAGCTGGTAACTATACATATACAACATGTGGCTCAAAGATGAACTTATTACATATGTGGTATATAATGGTGACATCATTACATTTATGGAGAATATATTTTCTTATAACAGATGCAGCATACGTGTAGTTGGTAGTGCCATTGCTTATACCTGTTTCTTATTACTGATTGTGTAATCATTGTTATATTTGATAAATTATAAACTTTTCTCAGTTCATTGGGTTAAGCCGTTAAGAATGTGAGTATTGTGGTGATTAATACTTAAATGTACAACATTGTAGATTAATGAAACAATTTAAAACATGATTTTCATGTTCTTATGAAAAGGTTGAAGTTACTAATTCATTTTGTTGTAATAATACTGAAAGTATGTAGCATTAAATGAGTTTATAAAAAAAATATTATTGATTAAAGGTGACAAAGCTTCTCCTCCAAAGACATGTTACATTTTATTGCCAAATTAATGTTAGTTTTCTCATATTGTTTGTGAACATATGGTTTAAAAGTATTTGTCAAGCGTGTTTATTTCATCAGCATGTAATGGTGAAAAGTCAGTATTTTTACTATATTTATATATATAAATATGTAATCAAGGAAATAGTTCTAATACTATAAATTTCATCAATTGCATATTGGCAAGCAAATCAAAAAATTCTTCGTTACCAGTTCTTATCATTAGTCATTACCTAATATGTATATATATATTTTTCCCCTCATTTCAGGTGTCTTTCAAAGACTGGTATAAGCTAAACCTCGGGTCCTCAGAAATGCTTGCAGCAGAAGCACACATTTGTCATCTAGGCATCAAAAATTTTATATGACAGTTTTAGTTACTTTTTTGAATCTACTTACATCTTACCTACATGTTTTATTATGTTGCTTTCATTTTCCTCACACAATCTGCATTTAGTGCTTATATCAGACACAAGGGTGCAGTTCATCATATAGAGACTAATGGGGATATTCAAACACTTGCATGGGCTGTGATTTTACAAGAAAATTCTAATAAATCTTCTGATTACCCATATAAGGTGGCAGAGAAAGTGGGACTAGACAATCAAGGTCAAGTAGGTCAACTCAAAAATCACTATTTATTTGTTCATCCATTATCACAGTTCGCACAATCTTCCATTGATAAACATGCTTATAGAAAAATTAATAATATGGAGCTCTTTAGTAGGGAAACAAAGGATGTAAATTTTATGCAAGTTAAACATTCAGTGGAAAAAAAAATGATGGAGCATTCTGAGATAGAGAGTTTTCATCTTCAAATTATTAGAAAGAGAGTAAAGAGAGGGACAGAAGAACTACAAGACCCAATGTTTCAATATCAGTGGCATCTGGTGAGCATTGCTTATTTTAAATTTTGTATTTAAGGTTCCCTGTTCATGGATTTAGTTATATTGTATTTAAAATTTCATCGTAACCTAATTAGGATTTACATCTTCCTGGTGGTGGTAAACTACGATAGTATATTAAGTACTCTAAAGTTGATTGATAAATAGGTTATTTAATTATATTGTTTTATGTTTAAACACCATGTTTTACTATATAAATATTGGAAACAAGTACATGTTTAATTGGCAGTAAAATCTAATAAATTATTGTAACACGTAATACTACCATCACCCATTGCACTGTCCCCATTAGAAGCACCAGAATCTCTACTTGACCACCAGCTGGATTCTGGTGCTTCTCTGGGTCTCCCCAGTGCAAACTCTCTTCCCCCCATTTTGTTTGAGTGTAGCACAGGAGATCCTTGCCACTGGGATGGTGGACCATGAAGAATCCTCACTGGTTGGGCTTGGCACAGTACAATGAGAAGTGGGGTTGTGATGACAGTATCAGTTTAGTATGAGTCACCCCTGAAGAAAACATACCATAAAATTAATGTGCACTCCTCCTGCAACCAAAGCCTATTCAGTAGTCAAGGTGAGCACACACTGTACAAAAACGTAACGCATTACCAGAGCCTGTCCAGTAGAGTCGAGATGTGTATACATGGTATGGTCTGACCACACTCCAACCACACTACACATATTTACTCACTGACCACTTGCACACATCTGAGCAACACTTGGGGCTCATTTGCTCTGCCCCCCCCCATACAATCTGTGCAAAGAGTATACCCTAGTCAAGATAAGATGTGGTCTCCAAAAGGTTGCCCCTATGGAGGCTGTGTCATCGGTTGTCACATTCCATGGGCTTTCCTTCTAGGTGCTTTATGAAGGGAGCTCATCTCGGTTTTAAAAATTTTGCACTTGCCCTTTCATCACTTAATTGTGGGATTCTAGTATTTTTATGTGCACAGGTGACTTATTGGCTCAGAAGTTAACCTTTTCCTAATCTGAAAATGTATTTCTGATAAATACTTTCATTTTTTCATACCTTCCCACTTCTGGTGCACTTTTTTTTTCTTGCTTCATCAAGGAATGAAGTTAACATGAATGCAAGTGCATAGGGGGAGTTACTGCACATGGAGTTTGTGTTGCCCTCCTATTGGTGGTGTTACGTATTAGAATTTCAAATGGTCTGAAACTGAGCTAAATGATACTTTAGATTTAGAAGTTAAATTGCACTTTGGATTTAGCAGTTAAGTAAAAGCTGATCTATAGTCAGTTTGTTATATTTGCCGACAAGATTGATACACATAGTTTTCTTTTTTCTAACACAAATACATTTTAATATACACACAACAATACAATTTACAATAACAGTTATTCCAAATATTTATTACAAACAATGATTTATAAACAAAAGTTTCACAAACTAACAAGCAATATAAAGTCTTCTTTCTATTCTGGAACTTCTTTGATATCTTATTGAGGGTTCACGATGAGCAAGTTAATTACGAGTTGACGTAGGTATAATTCACTTAATAGGGAGCTAGCTAGCTAGCTTTGTCCTTTGTTATTTACCAGCCACACATGCCGAGTTTTCCACCATGATGTTATGTAATGTTTTTGTAAAATTACTAATGTCCGATGAGAATCCACTGAAATTAAATGAGTTGTAATGTTCAAACTTTGTAAATGCTCCTGGTCAAATATCTGAAGTTTTCCTATTGATAAGCATTATAACAATTACAGTTATAGCTTCTGAACTTTATGGCACACTGACAATAGCAAACTAATAATAGGTACTCTTTTCTCGCATATCGTGTTAGTTATATTTATAGGCATGTGGAGGCTTTCTCGAAATTTCAGGTTTACATAACAATACTGACACTAACACAAGCGTTTACATACACACATATTTTGTTGATTCTTACTCTTGAGAATCTTCTACAACTTTGGAAAATAGGTGGCAGTTTTGCAATACATATTTAACACTATAAGCTATGTATGTTTCTAAATATAAATTTAATCTAAACAAACTTTGATAGTAAAATAAATATATGATAACAAATTCATCACAGTGGAAGGCTTTTGTTGCAAGATGATGTCATCATGCACCAGCATAGTTCATGTTAAACACATGAATTTAGATGGGAGTTACCTCAAGGCTAGAGGCATGCAAGTCTCATAGGTAGATGCATCGGGAAGATAGCATTTCTGTGTACAGAGCCAAGTGTCTATTGGAAATACATTTTCAGATTAGAAAAATGCTAACTTTGTGTATACATGTATACATTAAGATTGCTTTATATGTATTAAGCTGTTACATACATAAATAGAGAGTGAACAGTACTTATCAGTAGGAACTAGTGTTGGATGACTTAACTGATTGTATGTGAGCAGCACTTGTATCAATTGGTGTCACATAAACTAATCAATTATCAAAATTAGAGTTTCCAGTTATTACTGTTTTAGATTATTCTGTATATGCAGATAATTAAAATATTGCCATTATCTTTGCTGTTAAGCACAAAGCCACATAATGGTTGGTGGCTAACTACCACTGTCACTGATTCTGAACTGCTGATGAGAAGGAAAGCAAATATCCAGCTACTTAAATGTTAAATAAAATATAACTTTACTGTTTTTTACATTGTTTTATGTTTCTAGATAGTTGCATAACTGTATTGTGTAACATTATATAACCTAGCACAGGTGTAGGGGGAGGATTCTAGGGGTCTTGACCACCATCCATTTTTTTTCAAATATTAATAAATGTATGCTTTAAGGTTATACAAGGAGCTGCAGATTTAATGGGGAGTCTAAGGGGTCCAACCCTCTGTTTTTTTTCGAAAATTTTTAAGACAATAGCCAGACATCTTTACATTACCATATAGTGCTAAAAAGAAACATCATTGTTTTTATTTTATTGGGCTATTAATTACTAAAAAAAACTTTTTTAAGGTTTTCTAAATCAACACAGCTGGAACCCTAGGAATCCAGTTAAGGTTTCAGCTAGTAACAGATTATTTCTAAGCTAATACAAAAATATGAATGTCAGTTAAAAGTTTCCATGGTATGGTAAATTTTCAAAAACTTGGCTTTTTCCAGACAGTAACAATTTATCTAGACCTTAAAGATTTGTTTTCACCAAAGTTATAATTGTTTAGGACACCAGAAGCTCTTATAAAATAGACTTATTACAGAATTCATTTTCATCATTTAGAAGTTAGAATCCTGGGGAAATGTTTTTCATATTCTTGATATTTAAAATAAGTGACAATGCAAATTTGATAACTGTAGAAGTAATGACTTTTTCATTTTCATATCATATTCATAGAAATAAAGGTACAACCTTTGAATTTATTGGATTATAACCTCGGTCAACTAATCATTTACGGAATACATTAACATTATGTTAACCTTGTTTGACTTATTTGGATTACTTTAGGACTATATTGTCAACACTGATTAATCCAAAATACTATTTTATTATAGTGGAAGTATGATTTAATCTAAAAAATATGGAAAATTTTGTTGCAGTGTTACAGAGCTAACTTTTGAGATGTTAGCTGGTATCGTACCATATTTGTAAAAATATTATTATAGCTAGTGTAGAGAAATTAAACATTATTACATGTTAACACAATACCATGTTAGAATAATGCAATTATTGAAAAGGTATGAAACTAGCACATACACCTTTTTTTTTTGGCTGGTTTGGGAAGGAAAGAGTCTCTTACTAATTGATTAATGAACCCATTAGTTGATCAGTTAGCAAATACTACTAATAGGTCAGTTCTAGTAGGAAGTATGAAAAGATAGATTACAGTTTATCAAACACAGTGTACATGTAGGAGTAACTAATAAGACAGTTAATGGATTGTTAGATGTGCATTTCCATGTGAAATAACATACATGCATTTATCTGAACAAGGAATGGACTGAGACAAGTGTGAGCTTCCCTCATACAAGTGTCTATATAGTAAATCAGAACATTTCAAAAGTCTAGAATTCATTAATTAAGGGAAAAAAATATTGATGGGAATATAGTTAGTAATAAAATGTGTATTTCAGATAACATAAAACTATAAATAATACACACACACACACACTGAACAAATTCCAAGTGAGAATGTGATCATTGGAAGCTGTAACCACCATATTGTATCATACATGATATAAAAAAGTAAACAATCAAAACAATTACATTTAATTTCATGTGTTTAAACATGTATATTTTATTTCCAGTTAATTAAGTAAATGCAACATGTAAATTCACATTGGCTTAATAAATATTAGTTATTCAATTTATGTAACAGAGAAGAGGTTAAATAAGAGCAATTCCTTGACCCAGGTGACCTCAGTCCTAACTTGTCTGTGCAATAAACTGCTGATGACTTGAACATATATTCGATACATAAACATTTTAGTGATTAATTTTCTTAAGTCTGTTTCAGTATTGTTAAATGCAGACAGTCTGGAAATGTAATATATTTTTTTCTGTATGTGTGTTTTAGTTGAATAAAGAAGATACAATGATGGATATCAATGTGACAGGAATATGGGAAAGGAATATTACTGGAAAAGGGGTCACTGTGTGTGTGATAGATGATGGTCAGTGTTCTGGTTATCAACAATCTACAATTACTTTCATTACTAATGCTTATTTCTAGCATCTTTTTGTAAAGCTGTTATGAATAAAGAATTATGTTAAAGTTGTATTACATTTATTTTCCTTAACTTGTAATTTTTATGAAAAGCTAATTTATTTTTCTTTACAAGAAATAAATTCTGTCTTTTGAGATCTGGGGCTTATCATAAACTGATTTAAATAGTTTTTCTTAAATTATTGGTTTCCCACTGCTAAAGGTTTGTTTAATTTGTCTATAAAAGATTAAATATTTTACACTCATCTAAAATGCTTAGTTGGTTCAAGCATATTAAATTTGTTTATGCATTCAGTAGTTTTGATTATTTGTTATAAAATCTTGTACAGTCTGTATATTACAGTTTAAATTGTGGTATTTCAAATGTATCATAAAAACTGGCATTGGTAAGTAATTTTCAATTAAACAGGTTTTTAGAATGTTCCTTTGAGTTATACTTTTTAAAGACTAGTGTTAAAGTAATTGGATTATTTTTGGATGTTGCTTACTTGGTGGAATTTCAGCTAAAAACCCTGTTTCAGTAATTCAGTGTATCAGTGAGATGTATCAAATGTATCAAAAGTACCAGCACCAGCAATTTGTAAACTCTGAAGTTGAGTAATGCTTTTTTTTTAGGAAGAAGAAATTGTAAATAAAAAAATTATTCTAAAAATCTGGGTAATCCAAACTACCAGACACAAACCTTCACTAAAAGCCTGTTAGCTTTTTAATTTCAGACAATAGTTTGAGTGGAGAGACCCTAGTTTAGGTAATGGATCAAAGCATATTGTGATAATAAAACATAATCCAATAAAGTAAATATTTGATTTGGTGAGTAAATAATACATAAAGGGTTATGAAATTAAAATTAGTCTTTGTAACCTTATTGTAAAACAATATATTATAGGTGAATGAACTATTTACAAAAATAAAAAATTAGGTTTAGAACCTTGGTAATGTAATACTAATTCAGATATAGCTTATATTGGGCAGTTTAACTTTTCAAACCTTTTTACATATATTTTATATTTAGTCAAATCTATATGTGTGGGAATTATTTGAATTGTTGTATGTCACAAATTAGAACAACTGCACATTTAGTTCATCAATTGCTCTGCATAATTTGGATATTATATGAAAAAAAGATTCTTTCAAAATAACTTTAGATATTAAAAACTTGCTTTAAGAAGTATTAGTTTATGGACTAATTTTGTCATTTTAATATCATCGAATTCATCAGTATTGTATTTATATACTTTTATCCTATATTTTATAATAATGAACTCTTAAGCTAATGTACTCAAAGTAAAATTATGGAGTGAAATTTAATCTCATAATCATTTGAATACCATAAGATAAATAAAAGAACACAGCAGTAGTTTTAAAATGATATTTATATGAAAGTTTTTTTTTTGCATTTTAAAAAAGGACTTGAGTGGACAAACCGTGATCTCAAAGACAACTATTGCCCTGAAGGTAGTTGGGATTTGAATGATGATGATAGTGATCCAATGCCTGAAGGAGGAAATGGTTTGTTGAAATCTCAGCTATACAGTAACTTAAGATCACTCTACTGCGGAATAATATCAAAAATATAACTGTTCTTTTGAATAGGGTTTATAACTGAAAGAGCTTTCTTAATGTAAAATGCTAGCAAAATGTACACATTATAATGTTCGGTTGAATAAATGTATCAGTATAAGTACTGTTTATTTAAATTGGAAGTAGCTAAAACTACAACTAGTTGATTAATTTGATTATCTATGAGTACTGATTACGTTGATTAGTGTCACGGAAAATAATTGATCAATCAAAAATTATGATTAAATCTGATAGTGTCATGAAAATAATCAACTAATTGAAATTTGTGTTTTCAATTATTACTTTTTATTTATTATTATTATTTCAACTATCCAAGTAATTGAAATATTGCCATTATGATTATTATTTTCAATTAATTCAAAGTTGAGGTTGTTAAGCTCAGTTGATTAGTGTCATGACTCAAAAAATAATCAACTAATCAAAATTAATGTTTCTGATTATTACTGTTTTCATTTCCAACTACTCAAGTTTCATGTGAGAATAATTCATTGTTTGAGTGTAATCAATTAATGAGCCCAATGCAAATTTCATTAATTGCCCATGTCTGGCTACAACCATGAATCTTTGTCAGATGGTAAAGCCTTTGTTAGATTAGGTATAAATGTTTTTATTAAGTTAATCAGCTCTGTGAGATACAAACCTCTAAATACTGAAAATAAAAACATTGAGTTAGTATTACAGTTGAAAAGATTTAACTGTTTGGTACTTTAAAGGTAATCTTTCAAACTGATGATTTTTTGTTTGGTCTCATCTTTTAAATAAGTAACTTGTGCCCATAATTGTTTCTTTGATTTTTGATATTATTTTAGTATTACGTATATATCCCAGACACTGAAAAACACTAATATTTATTTGCTTTGAACCTAATGAATATATATATCCCTTTTTAATTGTTATAGATTATATAACATTCTGCTTAATAACCCTAAAGTGGAGGTACAGTTTTTATAGGTTGAATTTATATGGATTTTTTTATAGATGTTACCTTAAATTCTATGAGTTGTCTATTAAAAACTACATTCAGATCATCCTTATTTCTTACAGTTTGCTTTTGTTTATGTGTAATTTAATTTTATCATGATGTATTACTGATAAAGTTTACAGATTCATATATATATATATATTCATTTATATTTTGGTTAATTTCCTTTGGGAATTTCTTTCAAGTTCCTGTCATTATATGATTTTTTTTTGTCTAATTTTGTCCTGCATTTCTGAAAAACACATCATGATGATAGTGGATGATTCATTCCAATTTGCTTGAGTTGACTTATCAAAATGATATTTCAGTGCTTGAGGTTTTAGTATTTGTTGTGCTTAATGCCTTTGTGAATAGTTACACTAAGCTTATAATCTCATCATACGATAGTTAACATTTCACAAAAAGTTTAATAGTACTATGTTTTTTATTTGTTTTTTTTTCACTGTTGAGTATAGAAATTTAATGCCTTCAAATTTTTAAACATGATACATGTTTGGTAAGGTTCAGCAACCTAATGCATTTTGATGAGAATTATTCCATATGTTCAGTTCTGGAAGATTAAGTTCACTCTTGTAGGACATCATTGGTTGCTAAAGGTATAAAAAAAACAAAGTGAAATTGATCAGCTTTTTAATTTCTACTTACATACTTATGAAGGTCCATGAAGCTATATAAGTTAACATTTTTCCTTGTAATGAATTTGTTGATTGTACAAATAGTTTATATATACTTACATGTAAATTTTTTGGAAAAGTGTGTTAAAAATTAACTGTCATGTCTAAGGAGCATGTAATGTATAAAAATTTCTATTATGTTGATACCAGTGGTTCAAGTATAGCACAGATGTTTTTGACTGATAAAATTTGAAGATATCAGAGATTTATATTTAAAGGGATAATAAAGTGTAAAAGTATTAGTAATAGGATATTGCTAAATATAAGCTGGTATATTTCCCGAAGAATGTACATATTCTGTTAACATACTGCTGCTACTAATGGCCACTAATGAGTTCATTTCAGAATTTGATTAGAAACGCAGTACATGAAGTTATTTTTTTAGGTTTATAACTTAAATTAGGTTATTTGTATGTGTTGATTATATGTGAATATAATGGATGAGCATATATTTCTAAGTTGTATTTGTAGCTAATGTATAACTAATGGTTGTTTCTCAGGAAAAAATGAGCATGGGACAAGATGTGCTGGTGAGATAGCAGCTGCTGCTAATGACTTTTGTGGAGTTGGTGTTGCTTTCAGCTCCCGAATTGCTGGTAGTATTTTCTTTTTTGTTTTGGGTTTATCTTGTAAGTGCTTAATTAAAGTCTTTATTGGTTTTGTACTTTTTTCAAAATTTCTGTTCAGTGACAACCAGTGCATTGTAAGTTGAAAATGATCATAGAATTTTATGCACGTGAAACTTTTCCACCACATTTAAAGAAAGTTGCAATATAAATTTATTGTCAAGTGATAATATTTAATATAGATAGGTATATGCTAAAAAATTTAAAGAGTTTATGCTAAAAAAATTCTGCTATGCC